CACGCTCTTTTAACCAATGAGAGCACGCGTTATATCCGAACTTAATTATAAATACATGTAGTTCTCAGCTCTGCTCAACGTTCAAGAAACCAAACATACAGCTGATGGTAACAGATTTAGCATAACGTCTCGAATATAATCGCAATAATTTGAGAATTTATGGTTGCTCCAGATCTTTTGACGAAAGTAGCATGGTCATGACTTTTCGGTGCCTAGATCAATATGCCACAAGCTGGAAGCTTCTTTTCGCGCTAAAAATGTTTATTTCGTTTTCAAGTAATAGTTCTCCAATACTTGGCAATGACTAATCTATCGCGGACTAATTAATCAGTAAGAAATACAGTTTCATACGGAAGTCCATAGACGAGTGACGTGACAAAGCTTTCAACACACTAATCTGAATTTTTCCAACAAGTGTTGAAGATGTGCCACATGTGAACAACGTTGCTGGTGTTGGTTTAAAGAACATATCTCAACGTGGCCATATATACTCGAATGTTGTTGTTGTCCTCGACAGAAATTTTAAGAACAATGCGGTAAAGAAATGTCCGAAGAAAGTCTGCTCTCATCACGGAGCCCACAGAGGCTAGTTTTATTTCGGAATCTTTTATTTGGAAGCCATTCGCGACTTCATACTGAAAGCTTTGTCACTTATCATTAGGAAAGGGGGGGGGGAGAGTCACAGCCTCCCACTACTTAAGTTTTCCCGCTTTTCTTTTTTTGGCCCCCCTACCTCCCGATTCCTGCCCTTCATTGTATTACTCCCGTCTTCAGATTAATAAAAAGAATCAGAAACCTGGGTTTTTGGCAAGCCATGCCAAAACTTATCATTCTTGACAATTCGCTGACGTTGCATTTTTCCTGGGCAGTGGAGGTAACTCCCACAAGATGAACATCATTACAGGCCAGCTTTCACTGAATGGTTATCACAGTTTGACCATCGATTCTATCATCTCATTATGTTATAAGTTAGACTTCATATAGTTGCCGAAAGTTGCACATACATTTATACACCAGTATTATGCAGAAACGAAGGCTTCATGGGATGATTTTTCGAAAATTCATCGAAAGATATTGAGACTGAAAAATGTATATAGCCTCGGACGACATTTGACCTGACTCACTTCGTTCGCTACAAAATTTCAACTGTTAGAGCTCGCGATTCACACTGATCTATCTCGTAACCGACTTCGATACGAAAATGTATCATCTTGACGTTTTCTCCCACTTAAGTCAGACATCCTCTCTCAACTGAGTAATAGTCAGCTACAATTGATCACCTTCTAAACTTCCGTGTTGGCAAGAACTATTATTGTACTTCTTGGAGTCTTCTATTTAACACAGATGTTAAAGAAATAAAGCTACTTCAAATTTTGAATAGATCAAAGACATATTTTACAAGATTAATCTCATAGGCCTCAAGGCCTTTGAGATTAATCCTACCAAATGTATCTGCAAATGTTTCCTCTTGATGTCCTCTCACATTCAGATCAAGCCTCTCTTAACAGTTGATTTATTGTTTCAGAATTGTTCAATAACTAACAATAATGTTATTACACTCAACGCGTTCGTTTTGGCAAGAACAATGGATTAATCTCAAATTTGCCATTTCATCCACGTTATTGAAAAACTGGTCATCAAATGACCTAAAATTTGTACGTGTTGTAAAATATATTTATAAGATTAACCTCTTGGGCCTCAAAGGCATATTTACTTGTAGTTCTGTGCTGAAAAAATAGTGCAAATTGCCGAACTTTTCCTTTCACGACATCATTTTCTAACTTCAGGAATTTTTTCTGGTTTGCCGTGGTTGAATAAGGTTTGTTCATAAACTAATTGAGAGACACCAATACTACAAAATATTGGCTTTTGAAATATTGTTTGAATAGTTATTTCAGAATTTCGAGGTAAAATATGGTCAATTTTGGTTGTTCGATGAATGAAAGCAAACTTCAAATGGATCTATTTGAACAAAGTACGCGTTTATTTCAGTGGTTCGATAAGAGGCTAGCCATTCAGTAAGGGTGGTTTGCTTCCTTAAATTTTGCCAGGATTACAATGACCATCTGGGCAAGATTTCTCTTTCACCTCGTACCCCACGATGTCTATGCTTCTTTGACAAAAGAAAAAATAAATTAACTCTCTAGGAGGGTAAGGCTTTGTTTAACAAAATTGGAAGTTTATGCGGAAACCTTTCCGCAGTTTCTGTTACAAGGTAAATTAAACAGCGCGAACTTCAAAGGTTTGGCAGCTGGACAACCGACGTTTACTGAGTTACAAGATCTACTTTCTGGAAAACCAGTCTGCCAATACAAAAACATTTTAACCCGACGATTTTCGGAAAATGTGAGCTTCAAAATTTCTTAAACATATCTTGGTTAAAAAAAAGGAAAACAAAAAAATCTGCTAAAGAGGCCCCGCGATGGTTTGGACAAGCCACCAACAGCCACCCCATTCAAGCAAAAACTTCATTTTTCAGTGATTCCTTGTGAGAGAAAGGCGATATAATTAAAGGCTTGTGCAAATGGCTTCGTGTCACAGTTTTCCTCAACAGCATTCAGTGATCGTAATGCACGCGTTTAGATGGATTAAGTAAATACACAAAAGCAAAGTACAACCACGTGTATTCAGTACATATAAGATTGCAATATTGATCAAAAAAAATATTGAAAAAGGTCTAGGAAAAAAAAAATTTCACTCCAAATTTCAAATCATAAATTTTGAAATGTGGTATGTGGCCGACCCAGAAGCTACTGCTTCCTTTACAAACGGAATTAAATCTTCAATATCAATTACATATTATGATTAATATTTTTGAAAAACGTCTGCAGTAACTCCCCTCCTTTTCTGTTAATTAGATAATCATTACTTTTTGATAGAAATGGACATTATTTGATATCAATTTCAAGGAAACACCACCATTCACCATTCTCAATCCAAGGTCGTTTGTCGGAATTTTCTTGGATTATGGTGGCTAAAACACAAAAAATCCGAAAATCCGTATCACTTACAGACAGTGACGTTCAAACTTTCCTAGAAGGGAAAGAAAACCAGTATACGAAAGAAAAACCGAAAGTTGCGTATTCAGTGGCTTCGGTAATGGCATTTCTTACGGCTGAGAACGAAAACCTGGAAGATTTGCCACAGACCAATTTGGCCGTTTAACTGAAAGATTTATTCTGTCGGTAAGGACGAAGGCAGTGAATGAGAATTTGGTAAATTGAAAATTACGCCCACGATTGTTTTTGTAATCATGATTCAACGCATTTTTCCATCTTGAGCCTTAGCGCCAAGCCATGCACTGTGCGACTTTAATTCGGGAATTGTCGATTTCTTTCGTTTCATTCACTAATAAAGTCGGCTTTTCTTGTTAGTTAAAAGCTATTGTGTTTATATGACAAACAAAATAATACATGATTGCTTCTAGATATGGAACTTCTCTTCTTGTGTTCAACTCGAACAGAAATCCCATATCTACGAGCGGCCGTGTATTATTCTCTATTTAACTATTTGATTGTCAACGTTGCCATTTACATTCACTTGACAGCACTTGGTAAAAATTATTTCAAAAGCTTTTTCTGACATTAAAGAAGTTTCTTCGCAATTTTTGCCTGTCCTATTAAAAACAATTAAAACTATCTTATTCAGCAACGTTAAGAGGCAATATATCGTTTTCCTTCTTTTCATATTCCACTGTGTGCTTTTTTTTTTCTTTCGGTGAATTTCCCTCTTTCATCAAATTTTCATGTGTCACTACCACGCATGTCGTCAATTGAAGTTAAAATGACCTTTCCATAATGTCATAGCAATAAAATAATGTGCTCACTGAAACGGACCATCAATTTCATTTATATTTCAGAGGCCAACCAAAATCTTTCAAAGGTAATCAAGCCTTAGAGTCAAAGATTTTCGGAAAGCAGTACCTCGTAGATCTTATTTAGTTATCTTGATAATGATCAAACGTCAATTAAGATCGTATGGTAATGATTATAATTCTTCTTAAAAAGCAATTAGGAAAAGGAAGTGATATATAAGGGCCAGAAAAGTAAGAGGTTCAGGTATTCATTACAAGAATGGACATTCAATCTATTCTGTACAAAGCTCTCATTGCAAAGTTACCAGCCGCTTAATCATAGTCCCTTCTGACATCTTCTTTTTGGCGTCCTTTCTGGTTTCACAATTGATTTTTGTTGATTTACTATTCTGATGCTGGAAATGCTAAGAAGTTCAAGTACTTCTTTTGAAAATGAACATTCAGTCCACAATACAAAATTGGAAAGCTGTCATAAAAGCCCAAGAAGCTGCTTTATCAATGGGCTTTCTCACATCTTCCACCTGTCCGAGCTCTTCCTTTTTAGAACAGGCTTTCAGTGACTTTTCTTTCTAGAAAGTGTTTCACATAGAACCTGCTGATTAAAAAGTATGCAGAAGCTCGTTGTTCCCCATTTGTACACAATAGGCCTCCAAAAGGGAAGGACAAACTACGACTTCTTGATTTAAAACTAACTCACGTTCGCCTTTTTATTTTCCGTCCCAAAATTGTTTAACGGGATTTTCCCATAACATTGGTATAATAGAATCGATTGCTATGCCCGCCCACTATTTCAAACTTCCATCCTTTAGTCAACACATGTGTGGAATTACTTTGACTGCGAAGAGGGAAAATTAGTTTTTGAGCGCTTTTAATACAGTCGGTAGACGGAAAACTGTCTCCAGCCACCTGAAATTCCTAAAGTTATTCATAAAAATAGCCTATGTTTGTCTCGGCAATCCATGAAGCTTTTTGATCATTGGAGTTTTAAATCTATATTGTAGGCTGAGGTAAATAAACGATACACAACTATCATGCAAATGTCACATGTAAAAAAATAATGAATTACGTGTACTAATCTTAACCTTTGACTTTATAAGAAACGCTACAATTTTTATATTTTAAAGGCCAAAGAAAAACTGCAAATCTACTATAAACTGTAATATAGTTTCTAGAGAAACTGTAAACTGTAATTCCGCGTCGGCTGGCATGTCAAACAGTAGGTTTGTTTCAGTTTACTATATTTCGATAAAAGTAAGTAACCCACGGTAGCGAAATTTGAAAAGCTGACGTTCCCACTAATCATGTAATCACGATGTTAATACAAAATAACTTTTCTTTAAGTCCAATAGAAAGTTAGCGATCGGAAACACCAGCTTTCATAATTTACCGAGGCGCTTGACTCACTTTTATCAAAAATCTGGCATAACATATTTAGGCAAACGTTCTCAGTTAATATTGTCCCAAGCCAGTAGACAGACATAATTATTTCAGTCGATTAAGAGACTTACATCCCGGAAAATATTGAAAGGAATGCTCTTAGCTCTTTTCTCGCCTTTCCACTGCCTAGTCAAGGAGCACTCTGCGATTTTTTTCGTTTTTCCAGTTGCTCCCGATTAACAGCTTTCTCCTTGGCCCGATATTTCAGTTAATTACCTGGTAAAACACACTATGAAATAGAGCTTCTTCTTCAAAAGTTAAACCATTGCATTCAACTCATTATAAGTTGGAACAGATAAACTGTATATCCTAGTTATTTGTTGATTTTTAACTCTTGCGACTTATTCAAACTTCGCCAGGTGTCCTTAAGCTCAATGTTTTCCTGCGTTTTTCGCCGAGTACTTGTGTATCTGCAACGTGTTGGTAGTAGGTTCGTTTCCCGTGTACAGCGCCTGTTGAATGCTTCTCCGCGCTTGGCACTTGCTGCACATTATCCCACGATGGTAGCAAGGTGATCACCGGCGCTTGGCATTGGATGAATTTTTCCTCGCTTAGTTCGGTCCTTCCGTCCTCCGTACCGCCTTTATTTAATGCAAGCTAACCGCTCACAGTCCATTGTATAACGTAGTTATACCAAAATTTGCAAACTCCAGGTCTAACCGAAGTCATTTCACTCTCGTAGGATCCCAGCAAAAACGGGTGTTGGAGTGCATCCGGCCAAGCACCTCCATGTCATGTTCAGAAAGATGAAAGTCGGTGAGGGAGATGTTGTCTTTAATATGTTGAGCCTTAACAGATTTTGGAATAACCCCTGGAGAAAAAACAAATTTCCTAGCTTTTTCGTCTCTTTATATTAGTGGAATAACCTCTGGAGAAAAGGAAATTTTCTTAGCTTTTTCGTCTTTTTCTTTTTAAGTGAAATGACCTTTTCTCTTTTTGACGTTCGTATTTCGTAAAAGCTTTCAACACTTAAAGCATTTAAATACACAGGACTGAACATGGAATCCTTGAGGACATGTGTATATGTTAGTTCTAATTTGTCCTATGCGTGGCAATGGATTGTTATTTCCCTTTTTGAAACAAATCAATTCAGAGTCCGTCTACGAAGGAGTTTCTCGTATTTTTCTAAGGAATGTGTTTCATAATTCCTGAAAACCAACCTCTCCCAACCTCAGAAATCAAGACATCGACATGAGCTTATAAGTCTGAATGGCTCGTTAAAAGAAAGCCAGTAAGGCCGTGAAACGGGCATCGAAGCTTCGAGTGCACAAACACCTTCGTAACTCGTTTTCGCGACTCCGCCGGTCATTTTTTCGGCTCGCTAGTCCCTTTCGCGGCTCCGTCTGTATTTTTCGCATTTGTCCGTTGGTCTTTTTCGAGGCTCCCTCGCTCGCCTATCTCAACCGCACACAAAACCAACGGCTACGCTTATTAGGAAGTGGTTCAGTAAACAAATGATAACAAATGAGACCACTCGGTAGAGATCATTCCATGGAAAGCGCACGCGAAAGAGTTATATTCACGAATTGCGATACATCAAAAAAACCAACGAGTGAGCATTTTGATGCATTGCCAACGCCAGCATCACCAGCACTTTCCATGGTATGATGTCTTTATTTCATACAAACTGAGATTTAAATTGTGAAGTACGAAGCGAAAGGCTGTGAAAATACATCCTTCGTCCAATCATAGACACGAACGGTAGTAATCTCAGTACGTACGAAATAAATAAACAAACTTTAGTTGCTCACCAACATCGTGCTGAAGAGCCCATTTCAGAAGCACTTGAGCTGTTGATTTTCTGTACTCTGCAGCCAGGGTACACACAGTTGGTTCCTCCAAAAGCTAAAAACAATTAATAGTGAAAAATTTGGTCAATAAAACTGATGTTTTAAAACCAACTTCACTAAATTATCAAATTAAAAACTGAATTATCATTTTGGGCTAGAATTTATACGGAAAGAGAGAAGGCAAAAAAATAACATATAGAACGTGTGGTGAGTGAACACTAAGTGTTCATATTATATTAGCAGAGCATTCAAAAGGAAAGGTGTTGAAGGGTGCTCTTCCATTGATGTTCATCAAAGTTTATGTTGGCTGATGGGCCATCCTAGAGACAGAACAAATAAGACCACTTCATATACTTTTCCTTGACCCAAAGAGGTGTATGCTTGCAACTGAATTCCTTTACTCTTGCAGTATTCAAGCAAATCTTTCTGGTAAAGCATGGGATGGAATTCAACCTGTGTAAAATCAAAACATGTTGTTTTAATTACCATTAATTTCTTCATTGAAGAAATTTAGACAGAATAAAAGCGACATGGCAATTATACTAAAGAGTGTCCAAGAATTCTGGAAGATTAAAAGAGGTAAACTATTGAAAAAGGTAAAAATATTTTTAACAATTATCATCATAATCTGTTTTTAATTTTCCTTTGTTTTGTTTTGTTTTGTTTTTTTTTTTTGGGGGGGGGGGGGTGGTAGGGGTAAGGATGTAAAATTCTGGTTAACTTTTAAAATTGTGTCAAAGGTGCAATGGAGCTCTGTACAGAAGGACAAATTCTAAGTAGTCTTGTTAACAGAAAATAAATCAAGTTACACAGTCAAGTAAAATACCATGTGTTTATCAGCTACAACCTACCAGTGACTAGGATGATGCTCATCATTTAAGGAAACACATACACTTCTTCTGAGACCACTAGAAGGTCATGTTCCCCCCCATACCCACTTCTCCAGTTGGGCTCACTTTGTGGGCTATAACATGTTCACAATCATGTCACATGATTAAGAGAATTTGGGAAGGTCTTAAAGGTTATTCAAACCTTCAAATTTTCTTTCCGTACAGTGTGACATGGAAAGTCTATTGAGTTGACCAGAAAAAATAAATAATGATAATTATATATTTCAGTAACAACAAATTTGGTTGCATATGATCGAGGCATCAGATTAAACATAATGCCTACTACAATCATTGTCACATAGCTCAAAGCTTAACCTTGACAACTCCTAAGATATAACCAGTAATTTCCCCTTCTTGCTGTTCAATATAATTTGTTGTAAATCATTAAAAACAATTTAGTGTCGCATTAAGATTACTCATTCCAGACGATCAGTTAGTATCTTCTACTCTGTAGTTTCTTTGATAAGGTATGGATATTTTAGATAGAAAATGAGTAATCTTAATGCGACACTAAATTGTTTTTAATGATTTACATCAGACCTAGGAGTCTATGAGTTTTACCCTTTAACCCCTAACCCTTAGAGTGGCTTGCATCTAATTTTGAGAATATAGAGAAACGATCTTTAACTAAGAAGCTCTTGATTTGTTGAACATTTTCTCCTTATCACCACACTTGGAAATGTATGGAAAACAGCACAGAGAAGATGCATACTGATGTTAAGGTGTGAAGGGCTAAGTACCTGAAGAACAGCAGGTGTGACTGTTGAATACTGAAGAAGTTCTTCCAGATGATCTACAGTGTAGTTTGATACTCCAATTGACTTGACTAAACCTGCAAACATTAACACACATTTAAAACTAGTTGACTGATGATCCTTCTGTAAAACAGAATGTACAGACACATTGTGAATACTTGTACTGTGCCTCAAGCTGCAACTGTTTTGGGTGTCATGGTGACTACAGAAAATAATGTGAAAAAGTTGAAGTTCTGTCGCTGACTTTTATACATTTTTTTTTCTCCTTTGCTGGCCATGAGACAACATTGTATGACCTTCCATTATCAATTGCTTTGATTCATTATGGCCATCTTGCTTAATTTCTAGTCTGGGAACTCATGAAATATTACAAAAGCTCTCTTTCTCAATTTCTTTTTTCTGGCAACAAAACATTTTCCTCTGCCAAATATTTCTGATTCAAGGCTATATCTTTGTAGAAGATTATGCCTCAGCTGCACTGTATCTCCTTGTACTTCTTCATCTTCATTTGGAAAAGTTAATAATCTCGATTAATTGCACTCATTCCTACTGTCATAATCCAAATAATTGTGCCTCTGTTTGTGGTTGTTGTAAAACTTTCTTTATTTGCATTCAAGCTGCAATAACACCTTTCAGCCATTGTCATGCGCATATGTTTGTTCCGTACTGATGCCTATCCTGTCATATTTCTAACAGGCAGCCACAGGTAGCCTAGCAAATACTACAGTTGCAGTCAGGCTCTGTAAGATAAGGCTTTAAGTAATATTTAAAAGTCACCAACCAGTGCTATAAAGTTTCTCTAAAGCTTTCCAACTTCCTTGTCTCAGCTCCGCATTCCTAGGATCATCGCTCTTGCGTTTTTGAACACCAGGCCAATGTATAAGATACAGGTCAAGATATGCACAGTCTAGTGCCTTCAATGACTTCATAAAAGCCTTTTCTGTGCTATCAAAACCATGATCTCTGGGGGCTACCAAAAAGGAAATTAAATGAACACATCAAATCAATCACAGGAAAATCCCCATAAGCTCAATGATACATGTAATTTCTCTATGGAGGTATTACTGAATGCTGAATGGTCTTTTTAAAATCATTTTGTCAGATGTCATGTTCAGTGTCCAGTTATTTATCCTTTTATAATCTTTTTTTTTTTGGCCACTACCATTGATCACAAAAGAACAAATTGTGCAGGGTAAAATCAATTTCATTCAAAGCTGTATAGTTTTAATGAAGACTGGCTCCAATACAAAAATTAACAAATTGGGTATGTGTATGGGGCACCAAATTAAACCAGTCAATATTCCCTTTGTATTTCTGTGACGCAGTTTATTTTTTATATGGTCAACTTTTACTTTTTGTATGGTCAACTTTTCTTTTAATAAGATAAATTTTTACTTTTTATATGGTCAAGTCGAGTTTTTATATGGTCAACTTTTTACTTTTTATATGGTCAAGTTGAGTTTTTATATGGTCAACTTTCTACTTTTTATATCAGTCAGTGTTAAGGCAGACTGCAGATTTCAGACTGCAGACTGCAGACTGGGAGTTAAGTGCAGACCAAGGGTAAAATGCAGACTGAAGACTGCCAGGGGTAAAAGACAGACTTGGTTCAAAAACAACCCGCTTCCCCAGAAAAACTTCAAGAGTGACCTAGGATTGAGGCTGCGTGAGTTGTGAGAGGCTGACAATAATCATCATGGCGATTAATGTTTCAAACTTCAAGTCCTCAGATGGTCTTGGCATTAACATATTGTTTTAAGGTAAGAACAATTAGAAATGTAACTGTTTGAATATGCAGTTTACAGCCAGCTAAATACATTTTCCTTATTCATATAAGAAATAAAGAGTTCTACTGAGCAACATTAGGTAGCTTTAACATACATGTAGCTCATGCATACTTTGTTCGGCCTTAAAAGTAGTAGCGACAGACGTTCATCACACATCGGCAATTTCGATTACTTGGACAATAAAAACCTGTTTCTCGTACCTTTGTTTTGTGCTGAAAAGGTAAGTGTGATCTTGGAATGGTGCTTTGTATCAAAAGCTTCAAGATGTTCAACACTTCGCTCTTGTGCTTCACAATCAGGTCAATACTGCGGTCATAAACGGAACCAAGTCTGCATTTTACCCCTGGTCTGCAGTCTACAGTCTGCATTTTACCCTCAGTCTGTACTTTACCTCCAGTCTGCAGTCTGCAGTCTGAAGTCTGCAGTCTGCGTTTTACACTGACCAATATAAAAGTAAAAAGTTGACTGTATAAAAAGGAAACAGTTGACCATATAAAAAGTAAACTGGGTCACAGAAATACAAAGGGAATATTGAATGGTTTGGCACTCCATATATGTGGGTGTTTTTTGAGGATCTGTAGAAAAATTTGGCATTTTTTAATATTATGAGATTCTAAAGGTTAGCACTGATCAAAAATCTTACATCTTAAATAACAGCACAACACTTACACAGTTTACTTGTCAGAAAAATATCAGATCTGGAGAGACCATACTTGGGCAAAAGGTTTTTCAGTGACTCCCCAATATCTGCCTCATTCTGGTATACAGCAGCAGTATCTGATTAAAAAAAATAACAAAGATGGGCTATCAAGCCTTAGACCAATGCTGAATTATGGGGATAAATGATTAGCAATAGTTTGGTGACTGAATCACACACTAGCAGAAACAGCTTAAACCTAAGATCATTCTGCATATTCTCCACACTGTTCTCTATACATTTCCTATGATACTGACATGGAGTATAGTATGGAGTATAATCAAGAACTTCTCCAGTGGGTGATCACTTCTGTCATTCTCATGGACTTAATGTTTGATTCAAGGGTGATGGTGTAAGGAGAAATGAGGCGCCATCACTCCAAGGGATTAAAGGGTGAATATGATTTCAGCCGCATTTAATTATTAGGAGAATTGCAATTTCCCCTGGATGGGATGCTAAACAATGTCAAGACAAATCCTTCAGAATATAATGTGCACCACAGGTTTCTCTCATAGTTCATTGTGGTACCTATACCAGTAAAAGGTGTGTGAGTCAAACTGAAAGGGTCAAGTGTCTCAATCTACCACAAGACATCAAAAGGTCTAAAACCAATACCAAATTCTCCCAACTAACTTCACAAGAACTGGTTGGCAGACAGTATAGAGAATTACTAAAAAAATCTTGAGAATGAAAGGGTTAACAATGAATGCATGATTGTTTTGATCTTACCAATGAGCCTGTAGCCACAGTGGATTGCTGTATCAATAGTTCTGTGAATTAAATCTTCCCCTGGCACTTGTTTCATCTGAAATGTTCCCACTTAACAGTACAGCAAGTTATTTGTGAGATATACTTATACTGCATGTGAACATGTTTGAACATTTAGTACACAATGTGAAGTTTCATGTACAGATTTTAACTTGAGCAAATTAGGTTCATACTCCCTCGCTAAATGTTTTGAATAACTTCTACAAATGTGTGATTATTTAATTACCTTGTTCATTAAAATGAATACTTAACCCTTTCTACACTAACATTAGCCTGCATATTCTTCATACCCTTCCCTATACATCCCTAAGGTGCTGATGAGGAGAATTTGTTTCATAATCCAGAACTGCTCTGGTTGTTGACATTTCCTTTATTCTCATGACCTTAATGTGTAATATGGGGGTGATATTGTAAGGAGAAATTAGGTGCTAGTCATTCTTTGGGGTTAAAGGATTAATAAATGGGTGGAATTTCATATTACATCATTAATGTACGTAACAAACTTACATCCAATCCCCGGTATTTGTTGTCCATTATTTAAAGTATGAACTGGCAACATAGTTTATATAAAAAGATGTCAAAAAATCTGCATCAATAAAAATTGAAAATATAACGATAGAAAGTTAACCTAACAAACTTAGTCCGGTCAGCATTTTAACACCATAAAGCATGCGTTTCATGAGCCCTTTCTGCGTATCCGTCCAGCGGCTGCCCCCAGTAAGCGGGAAAATCAAGAGGAAATAACGTGTAACTTGTCACTCTTTGTACATTTGCATGCGAGACACTTCAGGATTATTCGCACCTTTGAACAACACAGGATACCCGTCGTGTTTATCAGAATGTAAGGTAAGTACACCTATGTTATAATTTTTTAGATTTCGATGGGAAATACGCGACTAGAGGCGGAGAAGTTGAGTAAGTTGGCTTCCTGTCTACGAACACTTCAGACCTCGTGTAGGTACGATGACGAGACAAAAGTTTTATAACAACCAAAACATAATCAATTGTTTCCCGAATACAACGATGATAAAGCGAGTATTTCCTGCGTCAATGCATCGCCTGTTTTTTTTCTGAGGGACAGTGTATGTGGAAGATTACGTCTAGCTTCTTAAAGGCACAAGTTTTATTTTTTTCGTTACGAAAGTCGAGAACCTTTTGTTGTCGTCGCGGAGATCCAAGGGAACATAGTTGTTTCCGGTCGCGGAAATGAAAACCATGGAACTAGAAGACAATGTTGTTTGACAATGCTTGGTTAATTGTATGTTCTACTGAAATGTTAAAGGGTATAGAATGAATGATTTGCAGGTGCGAGCCCTAGACAACAGGATTGCACGGTATATTGCATGAACTGCTACTCATTTGCAAAATGTATTCTCGCTGTAAATATGACCTCGTGTTGGAAACTGTCATGACTTTTTGTTAGCAATAGAAATTTATCGAGTCTAATCCCATTTCATTACTGTTATGACGATCGAAAGCTTCATTTTTTAACCATTCTTTTGAACAGAAACGCGAAAGTGTTTTCTTCAAAATTCGTATTACTACATTTTTACTCAAGATATTTTTAGAACTTTTGAATTGTTGCTCTACTAAAAAGACATTGCCTAACGCAGAACTTTTCGAAAATATTTTCAAATCCATAAGTCAAAAAACCCACATTCTTTTGTTAATCTGTGTCGCAGTAATTTTACTGTAAAGTATAGAAAATTCAAAACACGTTCAGTTTGGAAGACGTAATATCCTCCTTCGCAGGAAACACGTAATCTGCTCTCTGAAGCACGTCCAATGTGAAATATACCTACTACTGCCGGCTTCGCTTCAGCGAGTTCATCACGACTGTACAATGCGGTATTATTTGTTTTCTGTCAGGGAATAACAATAAAAGTGCTTGACATGTTCATTCTGTAGTCGCAATAAATATTGCGATTCACTTTTAAAGCAAGCTCGCTCAGAAACTGACTACTCACACTACTCACGGGGGATGTAATTTAGTTATTTATTATCGACGTGTGCGAGTGACACGGCTTTGGCTTTTGCGTGGGAGTCCGCTACGCCTCAAAGTTCTGCTGCATACAGATATTTACGTCAATTTCATTATAAAATGCGTGTTGTTTTCGTTTTTTTTTTTTCTTCTTATTTTCGTGGACAGAATTCCGCGGTCCTGTATTTAAATCCATTTTTATTTGTCGCTTTATTACTATTGTCTTGCATGGATTGTCAACTTTAACCCCGCGAGCATCACTTTGAATGTCGATATATTTATCTTTATTATGCCGTTCAGGGCGGTTTTTTAAGGAGTTTTTCCAGAGGGTGAAATACAGCGTCACCATTGAGATAAAAGCTGCCAAGTAGTTCCTTCATGTGCTAATCTTTGTTTTTAATTATTAGTAAAATCTCTTTTTTGTGATATTTTTAAGTTTGAAAATAGATTCTTCTGTAACCCGCTTATATTACGGAGGTGAAATTGAATCTCTTTGGGTAACCTTGAATAATTTCCGCGAAAGAGGCTGTTTGCATTTATCTTGTTATTAATCTTGACTGCAATTTTTTGTTTCGAATGTCTTGAAGTTTTCACTAAGAGGTTTCGTGCGCCAAATCTCTATAAATAGTACCATCATCTAAATATAGCAGTTTGTTCCTCAACAAACTAATCTTGGTGACAGTGCCTGGCGACGGACAATGGAGAAACATTCGACGTCCTGTTCCTGCTTTCAAGGAAGGAACAACTGAACATAATTAATGGCAATAAAGTTCATTTGCGTTTCGATTTCAGATTTCTTGCAAAAGGCAGGAAAATAAGCATTTACCGGTTAGAGCTTGGATTAGATTGTTTTAAAGCGGAAACCGCATTGATGTTCCTGTTTGTGCAAATTGAAACCCCGGTTATTTGTACGTTCGTTTGCTGTATCAAGACGCTCTTAGATTCCGTAATGTCATGCACAATGCAGCATGATATCTTGCGAGTGACCTTTAGTATTGCTCTGACTGGATCATCAGGCAAAACGTCTGTTAGTGGCACGAGAAAATGAATCCTGTTGATCAAATATCGTGATGCCCTTTCCCTTTCGAATGCCGTCAGCTTTAGCTCAGAATAATTCTTCCTAAACCAAGGGAACAAAGGCTTTAGTGTGCATCTAAGTTTCTGAAATTTGCAATTCGCAATCTGTGTCAAATTTCTCCATCCTTAATCGCCTTCGCTCCTTTATGTCATATCATAACAATTACGGAGGTTTTTGATCTTACCAAACTGGTACGCAAATTGGCTTTTGATCACGTTACTCTACATTACATTGCTTTGAGGTATGATTTCGCTGAAGTAATATCGAGTTTATTTTAACATTTAAATCTAGATGTGTGACGCGATGTTAAGGCCCTTCCTGAAAGGGCTTAATTTTCTAATACTTAACGAGCTCTGCAAGAGTTTGTTTAGCATTCAAATCATGTATCGACCTGTATCCTGCTGGTACGTTATCAGATACTTGACTCATGCGTTTGGTATTTTCTTCCGCTAAAATAGCGCCGTTTTCCTTTTACGCTGCATTTATGAATATCATTGGCCTCTTAATTGCCCCTGCACGTTGTCGTATTCCAAAAATTCAATACTACATTAATTTTTAGGGTCATCATATAACTAACTGCCTCGGAATAGGTCGGAAACTGTTCGGATTGAGTTCGGTACCTGTTCGGAGAGCAGTTCATGAGCTTTTCGGGACGGATCAGAAAAATCTCTGAACCAATTCCATGAGCTTGAACACGAATGAAACTTATTTTTAACAATTTACCAAGAGATTGAAGGATGAGACAAATATTAGGGAATGTCCGAGATTCCAGTTGTTATATTTATGCGGTAATTAGAATACGTGACATCGTAAAAGAAAAGTCTTAAGGAGCCAATAGGAACTCAAAATAGAAACAAGCGCGGGAAAATACGGGTGACCAAATTTGATTTTAAGAATCTGATTGGTTGGAGACCCATCAAAGAACTAAGTCAAGCAAAACCACAGAAATCCCGAATTGCTCCAAAATCTGATCAAGCTTTGCTCTTTTCCTACAGCACAACTTGAACTCTCCTGGGTGAAATGCCGAAAAGAAAGCGCGGAGTGTGGAAGCGGTCTTCGTGTAACCCAAATAGGGTTCCCTCGTCCACTGCTTTTGTGAAGCCTAGGGACGACGAAGACGCGGTGTCCATCTGGGTCCAGTGCGAGAGCGAGAGCTGTCAAAAATGGCGCCAAATTTCAGCCGAAGAAGCCGAGGGCTTAGGGGACAGCGCGTGGTATTGCTGGCTCAATCGTGACACGCGTTATAACAACTGCTCCGCCGTGGAACAGAAAGCCAAGAAACCCAAGCATATGAAATTCATATACAGTCTGCTTCCCCAGGGAGAAGTGGTCATGGCTAAATTGTCGGGTTACCCGCCGTAAGTGTCTAACTGATTTGCTTACGACTATTATTGTTCCTTTAACTGATTGAACTTGCATTGAACGCAAAAGCTCAGCGAGAGGCGATGAGAAGTGAGCAAGCTTCAACTAGACGAAAGCCTAGTACCTGATTCTAGGTCGAATTGAAATGTTCTGGTACCAGTTCTGGGCCCATTTGTATAAAGGGTAGTTAACGCTATCCAACGAATCAATCGCTATCCAGCGGATAAGTGATTGCAAAACGTATGGTGTTATCCACCGGATAGACTTTTATCAAGTGGATAGCGCTATCCAACCTTCGAACAACTGGGACCTGATTTTCTTAACAGGGAAAGGAAAACTAGAGAACCTGGTGGAAATTCTCTCAGCAAGGACGAGATTCAACGACTACGTGTTCTCAAACATACAAACCCCAGGTCGGGAAATTGACATCTAGCCCCAGCGGTCGGAAGGAAGTGCTCTCACAAATTTGAATGTTGTTAATGAGCCACTGGCTAGTAGGTTGTGGTATTAGAGGCCTGGTGTAGAGTCTTTGAGTGAACCAACTTCTTGTTCCTGTCTATGATATCTATCACCCTTTCTTTGTTTCGTAATTTTCGGAGATTTCTTGTTCGTCCAGCTCATTATTTAATTTTCTTTTTAACAAGTTGGCCAGGAATACTAACCCGTGATCCAACTTGCGGCGAGTACTACGACGCACCGCTGGACAAAGAGAATGAAATCACCCATTATCACGTAGAATTTTTTGGTCAGCCTCGTTCACGTGCATGGCTAGTGCCAGCCCGCGTGCATCCGCTGCGCTCCATGAACGAGACTAAGATGGTTCCTCAATTCAGAAAGATTCAGGGAAGGCAATTAATTGAACTCAAAAAGTCGTACGAGTTTGCGCTCAAGGAAGCACAGAGCTCCCTTAACACGACTGCAGAGGAGAGGATAGAGACGTGTCACTTCAAATATGTTGAGGGTGAGTCACTGAAGTGATATGCCTAAAATTTTGCTTTGATGTTGAGGAGAGAATACAACCCAGGAACCTGTAGACTGGAGCAATTTTTATCATCGCTGTGAAAACTTTGTGAGAATTCAAAGAGTAACCTAGGCAATCGGAAATTGTCGTCAAATCTCCTAAAAATGCGGCTATAGATACCACCATTAAAAAAAAAACTACACAGTAACCTGATTGCATAAAACTTTAAACCATAAAACAAAACTTTAACGCGTGCTTCACCAA